GGGGGCACAAAGATGTGAATTTAACTCAATATGAAGAATATTTTGGAGAAAGGACAAATTCACTAATTTTGGTGGAGCAAGAGTTTTAAATAGTTGTAGATCCAAAACATTAAAAGCCTCATAAACACTAAGCTTATATTTTTTTATTAAAAATGATTTGATTTATTTGATTTGTTGGGTCTGTGTTTGTTGTTTTCTTGTGTTTGGAAAGTTCATTTTAGTCTGTTCTCAGAAATAAATGCATCATTTGAGTATGTGTCCTTTTAAAGGGTGTTGATGAGACTTTTGGACCATGGACGAATCAAAAAGCGGATCGAAGTTCTGAAAAATCGTCCAGCTGTCAGTCGCTACAACAGATTCATAGAAGGTTTGATCAAGTTGATCAACTTACGTTATGAAGGTTATAAGGTGGTATCTACATACGAGTTTATTTGTTTAAACAATAATAATAATAATAAACTCGTTTGTTTAAACAAATAAACATGTACGCAGATGATACCACGTTATATTCATTTAAAATGTCCAATTTCCCTCTTGATGATTTTATCAACTGCAATATTGATCCAAGTTTTATGAATCAATATCCAAAAGTCTCCTTTCTGGTAGAAATCAGTAAAGGTTTTTTGTTTGTTTTTTTGTACCATGAAGTGAAAATAAAAAGATTATAACCAAATGTTTGTATTTTGCTTAATATTGCTAATTTTCTGAAAATTGTTTTTCATCAGTTTTGCTGTTAAACCTAAACATTATATAAAAAAGGATTACCAACACATTTGTAGAACGTCTCCATCAACCTTTCACGTCTGCAGGCCAAAATGATGCCGTTCTTAAACTGCAGTTGTGGGCCGCAAAAAATCACTCCAAGGGCCGCAAATGGCCCATGGGCCACACTTTGGACACTCGTGCTCTAGAGGGTTTCTTTAGTTCATGGGTATGCAGCTATTTTTAGGTCCAAAGTGTTTGTTTGAGGCTTTCCAGGAAAGATTTGTATTTTTTCTAAGCTCTGAAGTGTTTTCTTAGGTGGATACGCTCGGGGTAATCTTGTCAAAATGGAAACATTTGCCTTTGCTTGAGATCATGAGCTCTGCTGAAATGAATCCTGTCACTCAGTTCTTCACCACATTAATCTTTTTCACTTCTATGACTCTCGTAGCTTCATGTCACAGAAAAGCAACATTCCCACATTATGATACTCCTGCCACAATATCTGACTGTAGTTTTGGAGTTAATGAGGTAAAGGTCGCTGGTTTGTTTCCTTCTCTCACGCAGTTAGGTATTGTTGACTGACTGTTCAATATTTATTTCAAGATTGAGGTATTTGTTGCTTATTAAATTCCATTCGAGTTCATTTAGCCTAATTTAAATGATATTTTATAGAACATTTTTAGGTAATTCTTTTTCTGGATATAGATTATGAGTGGAGTCATCGTCTGGAAAACATCTGAGTCAACAGATAAGTTGAAAGGACTATATACTGTTAAAACAAGATGAACTGAGGCACAGTGTGGGAAAAAATTTAGGATGTTCAATTTATTACAAAAGAAGTTTTATGTTTTTGTGAAGTACTTCATATTGAATTTCATATCTAGTATTTTAAATTAATAAAAATTATGAACAATGCAGACCTATTTTTATTATTATTGTATAAACCTTTATTTAACCAGGGAAATCCCACTGAGATCACAGATCTCTTTTGTAAGAGAGGCCTGGGCCTGAAGGCAGCCTAACGTGCATGTTTTGGTCTGTGGGAGGAAACCGGAGTACCCGGAGAAAACACACACATGCACGAGAAGAACATGCAAACTCCACACAGAAAGACCACAGGTCCAACCGGGGATTGAACCCAGGACCTTCTTGCTGTGAGGCAACAGTGTTAACCACTGAGCCGTCGTGCTGCCGCTATGTAATTTTTTGAATTGTGGAAAAATTACCGTAATTACTTATGGAAATAAAGTTAAAGCAAGTATGTTTTACTCTTTGTATTTGTTCCAGTGTTTACATATTTGCAAAACAAATGACAGTAAAACTGCTAAAACTAGTCTTTTTTTGTTGTTTGTGTAACCAATAAAATTCAGTTTTATGTTAGTTTTGGTCAAAGCTTGAAAGAGCCGCTGCAGAGGGACCAAAGAGCGGCTCCAGAGCCGTAGGTTGCAGACCCCTGGTCACGACCAAACCTGTGGTTTGGTTAGGGTTCAGTCTTTCCATCCATCAGTTTCTTTACCTGCTTCTCCTATCTGGGTTGTGGTCAATGTGAGAGGTGGGGGATATTCTGGACAGGTCTCCAGTCCATCACAGGGACACTTGGAGACAAACAACCATTCACTCTCTCACTCACACCTAGGGACAATTTAGAGTTACCAGTCAGAGTGACATGCAAGTTGTTGGTCTGTGGGACGGAGTATCCAGAGAAAACCCACGAGAGCACAAGATTGTACACTTTGTGTGCGCAAACTCCACATAAAAAGGCCAGGAGGCAAACCTGCGACTTTCTTACTGTGAAGCGACAACTCTAACCACTGCTCCGCCATGTCAACTTTATTTTTGGTTAAATTTAGTTAAATGAAGTGTTCAGGAAAGTCAGGACTACATAGTCCCTTCTTCACAGTCGCTATGTTAAGCTTTTTTAAAAATCTTGTTAGTTTTTGTTCAAAAATGTATAGAATCAACACATGATAACTGTTCAAATGTACTGATCCTTAGGCCTGTCGCGATAAACAATAAATCAATTAATCGCATGATAAATGAAAATTATCAAACTAATTTTCATTTATCGGCTTTACCGTTTCTTTGTGTCTCTTTCTACTGAAGACACTGGATGATAAAAAGCTCAACTCCGGCGTTCTTCACTGACCCCTCCCTTTTTCTTTTCTCTTTAAAATCCATATTAACCGTCCAAAACTGCACTTTTGGATCATTAAAAGCAGCTAAACTGAGAAGCTAATCTACGAGCTAAGCTAACAGGTCGACCTCGGGGAAAAAAAACTCCATCTTGTCGAAACTCCAAAATTCACAGTTGAAACCCGCGCCTTCGTGTAAAAAATTGTTTTTCTCTGCAAAAAGAAGCTGAGAACTTGTTTACTGATTTTTTAATTAAAAGCGTTGTGTGAAAAATGCTATGCTAAAGAGCTCAAACCACGCAGAGCGTCCGCCATTTTGAGAACCGAAAACAAGGAAGGAGAGACAGCCCATGTCACGTCATGGGGCCTCCCTCCCATTTTTCTTAAAGAGACACGCTGCTCGCTCCCTCACTATCCATGCTACAGTTCAAAAAGTCTTGTACTGCCATCCAGTGGTCAAAAAAGGTACTACACAAAAATTAAGCAACATTTCTTCTTCAATTTGACAATAATGACTAATTATTGTCAAATTTCAAACAATATTATCGTTTATCACTATAATTTCTGAGACAATTAATCGCCCAGCAAAATTTGTTATCGTGACAGGCCTATTGATCCTATAGCGTTATGTTTCCTCATAAGTATCACTTTCTGAGAATGTTAAATGTGAACCAGCCTTTCTCTTCTTATTTTTTCTCCACAGATTTACTTGAACTAACAACACACAGCCAAACACACAAAACACACCTGAGTGACCAGCTGACAGACGTGTTGAACTGTGACCAGACAGGGTTTTAGATAAATGGCTGATAAACAGATCAGGTAAGGTTAGATGTGATTACACATGAAAATATAATTTTGCTTTTAATTCAGTGACCATCGTCAATTATTTATTATGTTTTTGGACTTTGCCTTCATCCAGTTTGCCTGCCAAATTGATCAATGGAGGGATTGCCGGCCTAATTGGAGTGACCTGTGTGTTTCCCATTGACCTGGCCAAGACTCGCCTGCAAAACCAGCAAAATGGATCTCGCCTTTACACCAGCATGTGAGAAAAGTTTGACTGTAACTCAGTGTGATCAGAGATCATTGTGGTTCTCGCAGCTTGTTTAGCAGCACTTGGCCTCACATACCACTGCTGCTGTGTTTGTGTGCTTCAGGTCAGATTGCCTTATTAAGACCATCAGGTCAGAGGGGTATTTCGGGATGTATCGAGGTAAGTTTTATTTACTTGTGGGTAATATTCATGCTGGTGATGTAAACTAAAGCTGAAATGTTAAGTTGAAGATATTCACCAGGTTGGTGTAGATTCTTAATCATCCAGGATGTGGCAAACTGAGGTTTTTTTTAAGCACACCAAGGAGCTTTAATACTTGAAACACAGGAGAACTTGTTCTTCAGGCCAAGGCTCAGCTGTCCACATGCACATTTTGGAAAGTCAACCATAGTAAGACAGAGAACATGTGTGTGCATAAGTGGGAGGCTGGTGGAACAGTGAGGCTACAAGGAGCAGAGGTCACAAAGGTGCAGGACTTCAAGTACTTGGAGTCCACTGTCCAGGAGAACATGGAGTGTAGAAAAAAGTCCAGGCAGGATGGAGTGGATGGAGAAAAATATCAGAGTCAGAATGCCTTTATTGTCATTATACCCAAGTACAATGAAATTAAGAGCCACTCCTTTTTTCAGTGCAAAAACATGCTTAAGAAAACCCACAATAAAAATATAAAAAATGTAATGCCATGTAGATATAATAGCACTATGAAAGTAAAAAAATACAAGTATTTCACAATTATATTGCACATTATGTATATTAGTGAGGTAGTTAAGATGATTGAGAGTATGAAATGTCAGTAGTATTGCACAGTAGAAGTCCAGGTGTTTGGGAGGTTAGATTATTAAATCAGTGCATGTGTGAGTTCAGTGTGGTGATGGCTTTCTGGAAAAAACTGTTCCTGAATCTGTTTGTTCGTGTTCTGATGCACCTGTAGCGCTTCCCTGAGTAACGAGTCAAACAGTTCAAAACCCGGGTGTAAACAGTCCTTGATTATGCTTTCTGCTCTGTTGAGGCAGCGTGATGTGTAAATGTCCATCAGGGAGGGTAGAGGGCAGCCAATGATCTTTTGTGCTGTCTTGACTACTCTCTGAAGCCTCTCCCTGTCAGCCAGGGTGCAGCTGCCGTACCATACTGAGATACAGTATGTCAGCAGGCTCTCGATGGACGAGCGGTAGAAGGTCAGCAGCAATTTGGTGTTCAGGTTGTGCTTCTTAAGTACTTTTAAGAAGTGTAGTCTCTGCTGAGCCTTCTTGATGACCGCTGTGGTGTTCCCTTTCCAGTTAAGGTCAGCAGAGATATGGACACCAAGAAATAGGAAAGTGAGAACCCTCTCCACGTGCTCACCATTGATGTAAAGGGGGTCTAGGTTGGTGCTGTGCTTCCTGAAATCAATAATTACCTCCTTAGTTTTTTTGATATTCAGAGCCAGGTTTTTCGCTGAGCACCAGGTTGCTAGCTCCAGGACCGCCTGTCTGTAAAATGTCTCATCTCTCTTAGAGATTAGTCCGACCACTGTGGTGTCATTGGCGAACTTGAATTGAAGATGAGGTTGTTGTTGTGGGCCGGGCTGTAGTCATGGGTGTAGAGACAGTACAGCAGGGGGCTCAGCACACAGCCCTGTGGGGAGCCAGCACTCAGCGTACGAGTGGAGGAGAGGTGGGGACCAAGTCTTACAGAGGAGCCGATTGGTTATGAAGTCTTTTATCCAGGCACATGTGTGTGGGGAGGGGGGGAGCAAGATTGTCTAATTTATTTATAAGAATGTCTGGAATGATTGTGTTAAAGGCCGAGCTGTAATCCACAAAGAGCATTCAAACGTAGCTGTGCTGTTGTTCCAGGTGGCTTAGCATGGTGTGGAGAGCTACTGCAATAGCATCCTCTGTGGACCTGTTGGTGTGATATGCAAACTGGTAGGGGTCAAAGTTCGGAGGGAGATAGTCCTTGATGTGCTGGAGAATCAGTCTCTCGAAGCACTTCATGATTACCGGAGTGAGAGCCACCGGTCGGTAATCATTCAGGCTGGTGATGGTAGGCATTTTCGGCGCTGGGATGATAGTTGCAGATTTTAAGCAGGGAGGGATGACTGCCTGGGCCAGGGAGAGATTGAAAATTCTGGTGAAGGTGGGGGCGAGCTGGAGGGCACCCTTTCAGAAGTGATTTGCAATAAAAGGATGTCAACAAAGGTCAAAGGAAAAGGTTACAAGACAGTGGTGAGAGCAGCTATGTTGTATGGTCTGGATACATTGACAAAAAGACAGGAGAAAGAACTGGAAGTGGCAGAAATGAATATGTTGAGGTTCTCCTTAGGAGTGACAAAGATGGATAAGATTAGGAATGAGATCATCAGAGGTACAGCCCAGGTTGAAGAACTGGGAGATAAAGTTAGAGAGGACAGACTGAGATGGTTGGGACATGTCCAGAGGAGGAACAGTGGGTATATTGGTAGAAGGATGTTAGAAATGCAGCTGCCAGGAAAAAGACAAAGAGGAGATATATGAAAATGATGATATATGATGATATATACAGGTCCTTCTCAGAAAATTAGCATATTGTGATAAAGGTCATTATTTTCCATAATGTAATGATAAAAATGAAACTTTCATATATTTCAGATTCATTGCACACCAAATGAAATATTTCAGGTCTTTAATTGTTTTAATACTGATGATTCTGGCATACAGCTCATGAAAACCCAAAATGCCTGTCCCAAAAAATTAGCATATTTCATCCCACCAATGAAAGACAAGTGTTTTTAATACAAAAAACGCCAACCTTCAAATAATCATGTTCAGTTATGCACTCAATACTTGGTCGGGAATCCTTTTGCATGAATGACTGCTTCAATGCGGCGTGGCATGGAGGCAATCAGCCTGTGGCACTGCTGAGGTGTTATGGAGGCCCAGGATGCTTCAATAGCGGCCTTAAGCTCATCCAGAGTGTTGGGTCTTGTGTCTCTCAACTTTCTCTTCACAATATCCCACAGGTTCTCTATGGGGTTCAGGTCAGGAGAGTTGGCAGGCCAATTGAGCACAGTAATACCATGGTCAGTAAACCATTTACCAGTGGTTTTGGCACTGTGAACAGGTGCCAGGTCGTGCTGAAAAATGAAATCTTCATCTCCATAAAGCTTTTCAGCAGATGGAAGCATGAAGTGCTCCAAAATCTCCTGATAGCTAGCTGCATTGACCCTGCCCTTGATAAAACACAGTGGACCAACACCAGCAGATGACATGACACCCAGTGACTGTGGAAACTTGACACTGGACCTCAAGCAATGTGAATTCTGTGTTTCCTCTCTTCCTCCAGACTCTGGGACCTTGATTTCCAAAGGAAATGCAAAATTTACTGTACTGAACATAACTTTGGACCACTCAGCAGCAGTCCCAGGCGAGATGCTTCTGATGCAGTCTCTTGTTCAAAAGTGGCTTGACCTGGGGAATGCAGCACCTGTAGCCCATTTCCTGCACACGCCTGTGCACGGTGGCTCTGGATGTTTCTACTCCAGACTCAGTCCACTGCTTCCGCAGGTCCCCCAAGGTCTGGAATCGGCCCTTCTCCACAATCCTCCTCAGGGTCCGGTCACCTCTTCTCGTTGTGCAGCGTTTTCTGCCACACTTTTCCCTTCCCACAGACTTCCCACTGAGATGCCTTGATACAGCACTCTGGGAACAGCCTATTCGTTCAGCAATTTCTTTCTGTGTCTTACCCTCTTGCTTGAGGGTGTCAATGATGGCCTTCTGGACAGCAGTCAGGTCGGCAGTCTTACCCATGATTGTGGTTTTGAGTAATGAACAAGGCTGGGAGTTTTTAAAAGCCTCAGGAATCTTTTGCAGGTGTTTAGAGTTAAGTCGTTGGTTCAGATGGTTAGGTTAATGGCTTGTTTAGAGAACCTTTTCATGATATGCTAATTTTTTGGGACAGGCATTTTGGGTTTTCATGAGCTGTATGCCATAATCATCAGTATTAAAACAATTAAAGACCTGAAATATTTCAGTTGGTGTGCAATGAATCTGAAATATATGAAAGTTTCATTTTTATCATTACATTATGGAAAATAATGACCTTTATCACAATATGCTAATTTTTTGAGAAGGACCTGTAGTTGGAGTGAGGACGGAGGAAAGTGAGATGGAGAACAAAACAATAATACACCTTTATTTTTAAAGCACTTTAAAAACAACGCCGTTGGCCAAAGTGCTGTACACTAACATAATTTAGGTGTAGCGACTGAAAACGCTCCGTCACCTCTCAGTCTCCTGTTAGACTTTGGAACGACCAACAGCAGCTGATCAGCTGAGCTGAGAGAGCGTGAGGGAACGTACAGCTGGAGCAGGTCGAACAGATACTGAGGGGCGAGACCATGAAGACATTTGAAAACAAATAAAAGAACCTTAAAATGCATCCGGAAACAAACTGGCAGCCAGTGTCGTGATTCTAAAACGGGTGATCTGCTCTCGTTTTCTGGTACCAGCTAAAAAGCGAGCAGCAGCATTCTGAACCAGCTGAAGTCGAGTCAGTAAGGACGGACTCAGACCCACATAAAGTGAATTACAGTACTCCATTTAATTGGTGCATCTAATTTAAAACCAATGTCCAGCCTCACACACAGGTTAGTTGCTCTCTGAGTCAGATGTTGTGTTAAAGGACCCAGATCAGCATGGACTTTGGAACCACCACTGGGCTTAAACAACAAGACCTCAGTCTTTTTCTCATTACAATGTAAAAACTTCTGTGACATCCATGCTCTGACTTCTGCCATACATTCCAGGAGTTGGTTCATGGAGTACTGTTTATCTGGTTTTAATGACACATAAATTTGGCTGTCATCAGCGTAAAGATGAAAAGAAGTGCCATGTTTCCAGAGAATATATCCCAGAGGGAGTAAATAAAAGGAAAACGGACATTGACTTGTTGTGGCGACCCCTGAAGAGGAAAGAGCTGAAAGAAGAAGAAGAAGAACCTGCACATTTAGTACAGAGAAGACAATTTGTTTGACAGGAATGAAGGAAGCAATCTGTTGAACAAAAAGTCCAGCAACAAACAGAGCACAGAGAGGAGGGCGTCTCAGGTTTCAGCTTTTCAGGAGATAATCCCTCATCAGTTTCACTCCAGTTCACACCTTCACATCTGCAACCAAAGCTAATGTGGACAAGGCCAATGGAAAACAACCTAAACGACAAACGAATGCCAGGCTTTTAATGTTCTGTTCTGTCTTTTGTTTTTCTTTCTTTGTGGTTTTCTTCCTACCCTCCCAGGAGCTGCGGTGAACCTAACACTAGTCACGCCAGAGAAGGCCATTAAATTGGCTGCTAACGACTTCTTCAGGCATCACCTCTCCAAGGATGGGTGAGGAATTAAAGCGCTGACAGGTTGACTTACAGCACACCCACTCCCCTCTCTAAACAGCGTGTTTACTAACGTGCGTGCAACTCCGACAAATGAGCTGCCTGCATCCCCCTCCCCCTCCCCCCACCTTGGGGGGCTCCCGGTAATCCTTCACCCTTTCTGTCACTTCTCTGGCTGCACGGAGCATTTCAAGCTGTTAATTTGTTTGGTTTATAAATACAATTACTTGCATGAGTGATTGCCTTAAATCATGTTACCAAGTAGCGTTTGATGGTGTCCCATAGCAAACATTAGCGGCCGTCATCCGCTGGTGCTGAAAGCAGGAAGCGCTCGGTGTCCACCTTGAGCACGCACAGATAAACCTACAGCTTTCTAGGGCATCTATCTCCATCGCCATGGCAACAAACATGCCAGCGAATGAATGATTGACTTGTTTGTACCCAGTTGCTCTCCTTGTGAATTATTAATTTGTTCTTGTTCCTGACAAGCTGGTGTGGAAGGCAAGGATTAACGTCACACGCTGTCAGTCTGTTATCTGATCCAGCATTTATATCTCTTTCCCTTTTTTTTAGGAAACTCACTCTGTTCAAAGAGATGCTGGCTGGATGTGGGGCGGGTACATGCCAGGTGAGTGAGTTTGCGAAGTGCAGCTTTAATAACTGCAGCCCCACTTTTCTTCCACCTGGAGCCACTGACTTCAGCGCATGTGGCCGAGCCTCGGCAGCCTTGTTTGTCTCTGTTGTTTGCAGCTGCAATCAGCCACAACTGCATTAAAAAGAGCATCGACAGTCACAAACACATGCTTGGCATTTACACACGATGCTATCCGTGAGCTGTAATATTCCATTTTCATTTTCAAAGAGATTTCCAATCAGCGTAATTGTGCTGGCCCATGAGGAGACACGCTGAGGGAGCTATGCAGACGTTGAGTGATCAGATAAGACGTTGGGAAAGTGCTTGGCCATGTGCGCTGACTGACTGAGCCAGAGGGAAATGCCTCTTGTCATTGAGGGCAAAGGCTTCAAGCACGAGGAACGTGATTAGATTAAATGTAGCAGATCTTGGATTACCACTGCAGCTGAGAACATGCACCATCTCACCCTTAATCTAGTTAACTAGTTACCTATTGTGTTACTGAAGAGGACATTGAGAGCTGACGTTCAGTTAGTGGATGCCAGTAGATTTACACAGAACACACTTTAAATTTGGTGCAATTTCTAGAATTTACAAAGTTATAGCTATTTTTGTGTTGACTGTGGTGGCCATCTTGAGTTTGTTCGACTCCATAAATTACCCATTTGGACATGTACATACAATAATTACTTTCTGAAAGTGTCATTAAAATCTGTCTGATAGTTGATGAGACATTTTGCTAAAAGACAGTTGACTCCTACATTTAATTCTAAAGTTTTAAACAACGTTAGTAGCCCTTGGAATATACAAGTGCTGGTCATAAGATTAGAATATCGTGAAAAAGTTGATTTATTTCAGTAATTCCATTCAAAAAGTGAAACTTGTATATTATATTTATTCATTACACACAAACTGATATACCTCAAATGTTTAATTCTTGTAATGTTGATGATTATAACTGACAACTAATGAAAACCTCAAATTCAGTATCTCAGAAAATTAGAATATTGTGAAAAGGTTCAATATTGAAGACAATTGGTGCCACACTCTAATCAGCTAATTAACTCAAAACACTTGCAAAGGCCTTTAAATGGTCTCTCAGTCTAGTTGTTGGCTACACAATCATGGGGAAGACTGCTGACTAGACAATTGTCCAAAATACAACCATTGACACCTTGCACAAGGAGGGCAAGACACAAAAGGTCATTGCTAAAGAGGCTGGCTGTTCACAGAGCTCTGTGTCCAAGCACATTAATAGAGAGATGAAGTGAAGGAAACGATGTGGTTAAAAAATGTGTACAAGCAATAGGGATAACCGCACCCTGGAGAGGATTCTGAAACAAAACCGATTCCAAAATGTCGGGGAGATTCACAAAGAGTGGACTACAGCTGGAGTCAGTGCTTCAAGAACCAGCTCAAGGTGAGAATTGCGCTCATTCTCATTGCGCCGCTCAAGGTGGCTGCATGTTGGAGCAGCTCTGTTACTTTCATTCTGAGATTTTGCTTTTGGAAACTTTTAATTCCTCTTTTTCTGGATGTAAGTCACATTTTTTGGATGATTGTTTCCTCTGGTATCGGATTCTGTGCAGCTGGAAGGATTTTTACTGAAACTTTTTTAGTTTTGGACATTTGTTATGATGCGTAACCATGGCAACAAGGCAGTTTCTACAACCAACAGCAGCTGATTAACATCTCAAAAGCTCAAGTAATCTCTCAACTACAGCCCTAAATTTCAAATGAGTTGAAAAGGATGTTATGTGGACGCATTTTCATCTACCTGCCAGCTGTGCTCGAGTGCCTGACCACTGAGATCCTGGAACTAGCAGGAAACACGGCTCATGACAGCGGAAGGACAGGATCGTCCATCAGCACCTACAGTTGGCTGTCTGCAGCGATGAGGAGCTCAACAAGCTGCTGGGAGGAGTGGCCATTGCCCTGGGAGGATTTCTGCCCAACATTCAGGTGATCCTGAAGCCCAGGAGGCCAACCAAGTGCAAGTAAACGGATCAACATCTGTGGCCAGTTTTTTCAGATCTGCTATAAGACGGACCATCACAAGAGATCCTTTCCGCCCACAGCCATCAACATCTAGAACAACTCTTTTATGAAACAAGGGAAATGAGCTACAACAACATTTAATTTCCCTCTAGGATTAATAAAGTATTTTTGAATTGAATTGAATTGAATTGAACCACCACGCGGGCAGCACGGTGGCGCAACTGGTAGAGCTTCTGCCTCTCAGCGAGTAGGTCCTTGGTTCAAACCCCGGTCCAGGGGCCTTTCTGGGTGGAGTTTGCCTGTTCTCTCCGTGCATGCGTGGGTTTTCTCCGGGTACTCCGGTTTCCTCCCACAGACCAAAAACATGCATGTTAGGCTGATTGGTAACTCTAAATTGTCCCTAGGTGAGAGAGTGAATGGTTGTTTGTCTCGTTTGTCTCTATGTGGCCCTGTGATGGACTTGCGACCCGTCCAGGGTGTACCCCGCCCCTCGCACAGTGATTGCTGGACATGGGCACCAGCGACCCCCGTGACCCAAAATGGAATAAGCGGGTAAAGAAAATGGATGGATGGATGGATGAACCACCACGCATAGACGCAAGACATGGGTTTCAGCTGTCACATTCCTTGTGTCAAGCCACTCTTTAACAAGAGACCGCGTCAGAAGTGTCTCACCTAGGTCTGCTGCTGAGTGGTCCAAAGTTATGTTCTCTGATTAAAATAAATTTTGCATTTCCTTTGGAAATCAAGTCCCAGTCTGGAGGAAGAGAGGAGAGGCACAGAATCCACATTGCTTGAGGTCCAGTGTCAAGTTTCCACAGTCACTGATGGTTTGGGGTGCCATGTCATCTGCTGGTGTTGGTCCACTGTGTTTTCTGAGGTCCATGGTCAACACAGCATCTACCAGGAAGTTTTAGAGAACTTCATGCTTCCTGCTGCTGACCGACTTTATGGAGATGCAGATTTCTTTTCCCAACAAGACTTGGCACCTGCACACAGTGACAAAGCTACTAGTACCTGGTTTAAGGACCATGGTATCCCTGTTCTTAATTGGCCAGCAAACTCACCTGACCTTAACCCTATAGAAAATCTATGAGGTGTTGTGAAGAGGAAGATGTGATACACCAGACCCAACAATCCAGAAGAGCTGAAGGCCTCTATCAGAACAACCTGGGCTCTCATCACACCTGAGCAGTGACACAGACTGATGACTCCATGTCACGCCGCATTGCTGCAGTAATACAGACAAAAGGAGCCACAACTAAGTAATGATGCTCATACTTTTCATGTTCATACTTTTCATGTTCATACTTTTCAGTTGGCCAACATTTCTAAAAATCCTTTTTTTTTTTAATTATTGGTCTTGAGTAATATTCTAATTTTCTGTGATACTGAATTTTGGGGTTTTCATTAGTTGTCAGTTACACTCATCAACATTAAAAGAAATAAACATTTGAAATATATCAGTCTGTGTGTAATGAATGAATATAATATACAAGTTTCACTTTTTGAATGGAATTACTGAAATAAATCAACTTTTTCATGATATTCTAATTTTATAACTAGCACCTGTATATTTTGGATCCCTCCCAGCTACTACCATACCAATTTTTAGTACAATATCTACAAAATTGAATGATAGCCTTTTTTTGTATTTTCTGAGCTCGCTTGGCTGTGGCGACTTTATCATCTCCTTCTGCTGCATGTGTGAGCTCTGCATGTGATGCTTTTTGTTTTGTTTCTGTTCCAGGTTATCGTAACAACTCCTATGGAGATGCTGAAAATCCAGCTTCAGGACGCTGGACGTCTCGGTAAGAGGAAATTAAACCAAGCTGTTGATGTAACACAGACTGAAGTATCCTGATGCATGCTCAATAACCCAGGTAGACAAATCTAATAAAGTTAAGTCAGGTGCTCTGGAAGGAAGAAAAAAAACCTGAAGAGTTGCAGATATGCTGGTGAAGGAGCGCTCCCATGTGGTCATGACAGAGAATGCACTTTACAGTGATTATAGTGCAATCTTTTCCCTACAACTGTAAAAAGAAACTGGTCCAGATGACATGATTTAACCTTTTTTGGTGCTTCCTGTTTGTTTTTAGCTGCTCAGAGGAAGCTCATGCCAGAGACGGTGGCAGCAGGCACCGTGGAGACCAAGTCCCCCACGGCAATGCAGCTAACCAGACAGTTACTGAGGGAAAAGGGCATCGCTGGGCTTTACAAGGGCCTTGGTGCCACATTGCTCAGGTAAAACAGCTTCAGATCCACGGTGGTAGTACCTCTGACAAACTGTGATTAATTGTTCACAATTAATTATGACTGTTCTATTTCTGTCCGTGTAGGGATGTTCCTTTTTCCATCATCTATTTCCCTCTTTTTGCCAATCTGAACAATCTGGGGAAAAAAGACGTGGAGGGCCCGGCTCCTTTCTACGTGTCGTTTGTCTCAGGCTGCGTTGCAGGAAGCACAGCAGCTGTTGCAGTCAACCCTGTTGATGGTGAGTTTTGGACCCCCCACCCCCACCCCCACCCCCCAATAAAAACAAAAAAAAAAACTGTGTGTGCAGCAATACTTCGTTGTAGCACAACTGGAGAGAGGAAAGCTTTGCAGGGAGTGGTGAAGGCTGCACAGAAGTCTGTTGGAGTCAGCCTCCCCACCATCACAGACATCTACACCTCCAGATGCAGGAAGAGGACCACCTGCATCATGAAGGACACCACTCACCCAGCACACACACTTTTTTGCCCCACTCCCCTCAGGAAGGAGGTTGAGGAGCATTAAGTGTAGAACCACTAGACTGAGGAACAGCTTCTACCCTGAGGCTGTTAGACTCGTGAATCTCTAACCAGGTTAATCACTGTAATACCACTTGAATTGGTGAAATGTCACTTTATCTGTGCTGCTGATTATTCATGCTGCTGATTTCTTGCCTTTAAGCTGATGTATACATACCCATCTGCTCACTACATACTCATGTTCAGGCTGCTGTTTAATGCACCATATTATTGTACATCATTAGTGTTTAGCGTATATCTTAGATCCTTGTACTGTTTCTTTTTTATACTTTATATTTTTGGGTGTAAATGGGACCTTAAGTGCACAGTTTAATTCCACCTCATGTACCACATGTGATGTGAACGACAATAAAGAACCTTGTAGATTCTAACCTGCGCTGTCTGAATTTCAGTAATAAAGACCAGACTGCAGTCCTTGAACCGGGGGAGCACAGAAGACACGTACGCTGGAGTGACCGACTGCATCAGGTGACCTCTTTATGTCTGAACCGCTAAAGCACGTGTGAGGCTGCTTGTGTGGTCATCACTAACGCCCGGTGTACGTTCTGATTAAAGTGATCGGTTTTGTGTTCGCCCTCTAGGAAAATCATGCACAACGAGGGCCCGGCGGCCTTCCTGAAGGGAGCCTACTGTCGAGCCCTGGTCATCGCACCGCTTTTCGGCATTGCACAGGTGGTCTACTTCCTTGGCGCGGGCGAATTTATCCTCAGCTTTTTGCCTAAAAAAGGCAACTAAGGAGCGCCTTCTTTCTGCCTTCTCTCCCATGATGCATCACTTCAACTACATGAGAATTCATCTTACTCTGAGAGGTTTTTTTTGTTTGTTTGTTTTGGGGGTCAGTGCGTGACCAGTCATTGTGTTTTTATTGTTGTGTTGAATGTTAAGAAGGGAGCCTTTGTTTGCCAAGATGCCTGTGGTGGCACACGAGTTTCCAGTTAGCAGGCTCAACTACAGATGCTTTCCGGAAATGAAGCCACAAATATCGGTGTACAAGTACAAGATTTTGTTGCGTTTCTGAATATGATTGTTAGATCTGCAAATTAGATATATACTGCCCTTGGCTGCTGCAGTTCTGCCAAGCCTAGTACTGATTTCCTTTTGAGTTCATTATCATTATTAGACCTTTATTTATATTATATTAGCTCTTTAATGTCAAAGAATCCCATCGCAATCTATTTGAAATCACAATTTGACACAGTCGTAAGTTAACTGTTTATAAAGCACAGTCCTCAGTTTGCTGGGAGCTTAGAGTTTTGCGAAATACTTCAAAAACTTTGTCCTAAAAGACAAAATACGTATACCTGGAGGAAAATAAGCCGTACGAGCCGGTTTCTTTCCAAGTCCCAGACAATGTGTTGATGTGATAGCCGCACAATCCCTCTGATCTTTCCTGAGAAGCCACTTCCCTTTGTGTACAGTAAGTGGTTGTAATGAACTCAGCCTTCCAGCTCAGAGCAGCCTTTGATTGCCTTAGTGTTTTAAGTAGATCAGGTTCCATCTGATATTTAGTGCTGCCACAATGGTTCAACTGTTTTACCTCCCTGAACGGTCTCGCTAGTTTCTACCCACATCAGCCAGTGTGAACATGACGAACTGCTACCAACCTTTGAGTTTACATTAAGTCTGAGACAAACATCTCTCAAAATGGCTGCTACGTTTCTTTCTTTAGAGTAAACCGATGTACTTTTTGGACACGCCTTCGTCACGTAACGTTTCACATTTGTACTTGATGGAACACGACTGAATGAATTTTGGCCCTAAGTGCAAAGTGCAGCTGCGTTTTTCTGCTAACGTGTAATTCAATGTGTGTTCAGGTGTTTTGAATGGTGAGCACAAAATATATATCGGAAGTGGTTTTAATAGAAAAGCAGAATATTATTCCTGAACAATCCAAACATCTTTGAATCATCTCAAACCTATGAGTGCGGTTAATCGTTGTGGAGAATACAAGTACTTGTTTTTTCCCCCTTAGATAGACACGAGTATGTTTTTTTTTGTTTACAAATGAGTTCACGTTCAGTTTTAACACTTTGTCCAAACTTGAACTCAGTGGCAGGACCTCAAGGAGCTAAAGAAAAACTGTTCTTTACATGAAAATCAGCCCATCGAGTCCTCAGTGTTGGACGAGTTTTACCAAAACGTATCGCAGCTTGTTTGCTTGAAGCTGCAGGGGATGAAACGGCCTCGCTGTATCTTGTTTATGCATCACAGCAACACCTCAGGCCTGCCGTTGGCTTATCGTCTCGGAGATCAAGGTGACCCTTCATGGGGATTATCCAATCACATTCCGCTCCTTGCTCCAGCTGGTCAGTCATCTTCTCGGTGGTTCTGTGGGTGCACGGTGCAAACGTTCAGTGCGATTCTGTTTGTGGGAAGGAACTTTATCAATATTCCATTTTTAGAAGCGAGCGAGCCTCATAAATGTATCTGTTATGTGTTGTTTTGTGTCAAATTGGCCAGCTGAACTTTATTGTACATATGCAGATGAAATGAAATTTGTTTTAGAGTTTATTGTTGGGTAAACGATGGCTTATTTGCACACCTACCTCTCCACCTTTTTCCCCTTCAGTTCATATTGCGCTGATTTTATGTTCTAATGATGCAGGAAGAAATGAAGGAAGTGGAACAAAGTGAGAAGCTGGAACACTAGTTTAGATCTCCTGGCTTTGTTGGAGGTGCCATTTCCTCGGTGTTACCGGCTCAATCTGCGGGTCGGCTGGTTTCCTTCTGTTTACCGACAGGACCAAATGAAGAGTTTTTCAGTGAAGGATTTTTAGCTGGTAGAATAAGTGGAGCTTGTTGGAGTTCGTTGTCGTTCGTCTGAATGGTGCTTTATTTTCCACAAAGTTGCCACAATGCAACAGTGGCAGCATGAAGACCAAGGCTGCACTGCCCGAGCTAATCTCAGTCGTCTTACTGTAAGTGAAAGCCATCGGTCAGGGAGGGACTGCTCCAACACTGACCGGCACCTCCCAACGTCAGAGGCGCATGAAAGGAAAATGTAAAAAAGACCCAAATACTCGTGTGAGTTTGGCTTTATTAATTGTTCCCGTCATTTTAGCCTTTTTGTTTACATTCCAGCCTGATGTTGTTTTTGTGATCACATTGCCTATTTTTATTTTTATTTTGTCTTCAAATTGGTTTTATCCATTTTCCTTTTGGAGTCGACTCCCGAACGTGTCGTGGAAGTGGTTTTGCTTTACTCGGCTGTGACTTTTCACCGACTTTGTGCGTTTGGTTTTGTACGTGCGCTTGACAGTGTAGTGGCGTAGAGTTGGCGTGTAGTTGTTAGTGTCGCTCTGATATTTTTTTCTCTCTTCGATTGTCGACCCTCTTATGTTTACGCCCCTCCGTGTGTTCGTGCTCGGTCCTAGCAGGATCCACCGCCGGGTGGACGCTGCTGATTCTCAAACACCAACTGGAGTGTGTACAATCAAAGAAAGCACATGAAAAGGACGATGGCGTATGAGATAGCACACGTTCCTCTCTGAATACAACTGGAAACACCAATGTGTTGATTTGGAGAATCAAAGTGATTTATTTCTGTAAATGTGTTGATCCAAATGACCTTTTTAATCTTTATTATCTATGTCTGTAACAAAAAAAACTATAGGGCTGAGACAAATATCCACACGATGGTGTCCACTATCAGCAGTTTAGCCACAAAATGTATATCGCCTACACATAAGAATCAGATATAAGAATGTAACTTAGATATAACAAGGTGTATTATAAATATTGTGAAGAGTTTATTACATTTTAATCTAACGATTTGTGCTTTAATTGTTCACTGAGGAAAAAGAAAAGAAATTCACAAACCAGCTTAACGTTATGCAATAAGTAGACGTCACACACAGTAGAGAAAAGACACAAGAACACACGCAAATGATTGCAGCAACGTCTGACTAATGCAACTGGGAAGCTTGGAGGCTTTTTTTAGGGTCCGCGTTCACCTCGCAGCCCCTCTCTCTTCCTCCGAGAGGAAAACGTGCAATAAAGCACTTTAAAACCTCGCCCCTCGCTGTAAAGCTACAGCCTCTCCATTACAGAGGGTGTGTATGAGTATGTGTGGTGAATGTTCTTTGAAATGAAATGGAAAATATAAATATATATATATATATTGTGTTTCTTGTCACAATTACTGTTCAATAAACTGACTGTCCTAAAATTGCCTGATGTGGTTGTTTGTAGTAAAGGTTGCACCCGCCACCGTTTCTGCTTTTCAAGGTCCAGTAGCTATTTGACAGAACACAAAGCAGGTGACGCTGTGTGTGAACACTGAACAGCAGGGCAGCGTTCTGAAGAGACCGAGGACGACGTCCGTGACTCCTGGAGGGCACGTCTGACTCTGCCAGGATGATTGGCTACTTATCAGGAGCCACCGGGTGTCAGTGTGGGGCCGCAGTAGAGTCTGCGGTCCTCCTCAGAGTGGATGAGAGGCAGCAGGCACTACAGGTGTCGGATCGTTTTAAGAGATGCTGCAGTAAATCGTGCTACGATCCGTTTGTTTTCCCAGTAAGGTAAATATTTTTTTTCATGCAGCTGTTGGAGAATTAATTATCGCCCGCTGCCAAAAGCAAAAGGATGATGACGTGTCTGTGCGTGTGTGTCTGTTAGCAAAATGTTTCATGAACCACTGGACGGGTTTCAGCGAAGCTTTCAGAAAACGAATGAGCTTTTGGAGTCGAGCCAGTTTAAGATGGTGGCCGCAGCCAGCTGACATGAGCAAACAAAACGGACTAAAACTCAGTGAATTGGACAGACATGAGCTCCATTTTGGTGAGGTAGTAGCTGAGAGTCATCTTCTGCAAATGCTCCAAATGCTAATCTTCCAAAATCACTTACAAGTTTTAACCAAAGCTGTCATAACTTAATCTCTTCTCTGACATGAAAGGCAATATGCTTTCCAAATTATCATTATTATTATTACTATTATTATTATTAGGGGTGCACTGATAGCAGTTTTAAGGCCGATCTCCGATCACTATAAAGCCTGACCTGCCGATACAGATTTTGTTTTATAAACGTCACTGTCAGGAGTTATAACAATGCACCTTCAATTTTCCAATATTGTTTTATGAAAAACACCCTTGAACAATATCCTCGAAACAATACAAGATTGTTTTAACTGGCCATGAGGTAGTGCTCTGAAATATAATTGAAGTTCAGAAAATTGTTGCTAAAACTACAAAAAATCTGTAAAATCAGTTTCTCATTCAGCATCGGCCGATCTCCCAAAATTAAGGAAATCGGGGCCGATTTATCGGTGCATTCCTAATTATTATCAATATTTCGATATTCCTTGAAGGAATCTTCAAGGAATGCTAGACTTTTAATTCACAGATGTTTTTGCTTCTGGAGATTTCTGTGGTTCTTGATAAATGAAGTCTAAGCCTTTCACACGTATAAACTTAAAAGATATTTCACACCAAATGTTGCTGTGACTTCACTTTACATTCCCTAAAATGGGTTTGTTCATTATATATAAAGTTATATTTTATCTTTATATATATATACACATATACATATATATATGTGTATATTTACACACATATATATATATATATATATATATAT